AAGAGTGAGCAAACCACCCTATTCAAAGGGCTATTTTAGCTCATCAAAAGCAACACACTGATGTTTTGTCATGTGTCTCCTTATCAAATAAAAAGCAAATTGAATTATAAGAGACAAAGGTATTGACAAAATATTCACTATCAAGTGATCCCTGGAAGTTTATCTGATAGAATACCTACATTCTTGGTGTAGTGGTTAAAAGCTATGGCTGCTAACCAAAATGTCGGCAGTTTGAATCCACCAGGTGCTCCTTGGAAACCCTATGGGACAGTTCTGCTCTGTCCTATAGGGTTGCTATGAGTTGGAATCAACTTGACAGTAACAGATTTTTTTTTTTTATATATACATATATGGTTTAGATGAGATTTTGTGATTCAAACTCCAGGTTTTGGTTAACTGGATTTCTTATTCTTAAACTGAAACTATACTGTTCGTACATATAGAAAGAACCCTGGCCACGCAGTGGTTAGAGCGATCAATTGCTAACCTAAATGTTGGCGGTTCGAATACACCAGCCAGCTCCTAGGGAGAAAGATGTGGCAGTCTGTCTACCTCCCTAACGATTTACAGCTTTGGAAACTCTATGGGGCAGTTCTATTCTGTCCTTTAGGGTCACTATGAGTCGGAATCAACTCCATGGTAGTGGGTTTGGTTTTCTGGTTTGGGTTTGTACATGTATTATAAATATCTATTTTTAGAAACCGTTGATTAAATAGTAATCTAGGTTATAATCTAGTATGGATACATCTAACAAATATTTACTCCACTAATACATTGTTATCTATGAGCTACAGTATAGAAGAGTATTGATCCTGGGGTAATCTTATAACCACCTGCGTATGGAGTAACGTATCTTGACAGGCCTCTCAACTACAGAATATGGTGCCATACTTCATTTATAATATACTTCATCAAAAATATTTGTCAAGGGGTATACTCTAAAATTGTTGCTACTCAGTAATTTTATCAAAAGCTGGCTTAAAGTTATCTGTGAAGGGTTGTTTGAGATACCTGCAGCTCTTCTCTTCCTCTACATCAGAGAGCACAAACTCAAATAACTTCAGGGGTCCAATGCACAAACAAATGGATAAAGTACCCTGAAATATCTAACAGAGAGGAATGAGAACAATGGTTACCAGTTTGGTTACAGGTACTAAGTTCTCAGTAATGGTTACTAAACCAACCCATGCTTAGATACGTGTTCTTTCTTTTCTCTCTTTTGAGGCCCTGTGTGGTCCAAACAAACTCATTCCCATGCCTGAACTTGGCTGGAGCCTGCCTGTCTTTGTCCTCTGCATCTAGATAATCTATGATTTATCCTAGATTAAGTTAGAGCTTCCAGAGCTACCTGAATTCTACAGTTTTTTTTGTTTTTGTTTTTGTTTTGGTACTATCTTACAATTGATTTTACTAAATTTTGTCCTGGTGCCATTGGTGCCATGGTTTTAGAAAATTTTTAGCTGACGATCATGGGAGTTTTTTGGTTTTTTTTTTTTTCCTTGTCACAGCCCAATTAATTAAGCCACCACAAGTCTGTCAGCAGTTTGCCATACTGTATTGGCTTCCATGTTGTTATGATTCTGGAAGCTTAGTCCACCTTTATTTCAAATACCAGCAGGGTAAGCCGTGGTGGACAGGTTTCAGCGGAACTTCCAGACTAAGACAAACTAGGCAGAAATGCCCAATGATCTACTTTGGAAAATTAGCCAGTAAAAACCCCATGGATCACAACAGAATATTGTCCCATATAGTGCTGGAAGATGAGCTGCCCTACATTGGAAGGCACTCAAAATACACAATGCCCACAACCATGGACTCAAGCACTCAAGCACACCAATGATTATGAAGATGGATCAGACAGGCCAGTGTTTCATTCTATTGTTCATGGGGTTGCCAGGAGTTAGAGCCAATTTGATTGTAACTAATAACAACAACAATTAATTAAGAGCGTTTTTCTATGAAGCAGTGAGTTTTGCTCTTTAACAAAGCTATTTTATTTTCTATTCAAGATACCGTTAAACAATAATCAAATCATAATCCTGTGCTTATAGGAATTCTTGTTTTTGTTTTAGAAGTACAAATAGTAGAAATCTCTGCACTCTACTCCCTCTAGGGTAATTGTTGGGCTCTTTGCCACACATGCTTCCTTCCTTTCTTCTTCCAGGCTTATAGTAGGGTTGACCTCCTAGTTCTCTTGTAGCTGGGGTAGACTGAGTAGTTCTGGCTAAAGAGTTTTAACCTGTGCCACTTCCAGCTTGGGGAATTTATTACCAACCTGAGACCCACCCACCAGTGCCCTGGTTTTCCTTGGCCATGATCGCTGGCAATGTTCCAGGGAGTGGCTGCTCCATCAGCCTGTGATCATTAAGGAGAATGACAATAACAACACAACTTCAGGGTGCCCATTGGACCCAAGTAGACATGGAGTGTGAGCGAAAAACAAACCTTTGTTGTTTCAAGCCAGTGAGATTTGAGGGTCTTTTGTTAGTAGCACCGGATCCTAGTTCAACTCCTCCTCATGCTCACCCCACCCACAGTTGGAGGGATGTTGTTGTTGGGTACCACTGAGTTGACTCCAACTCATAATGACCCACGTGACAGGGTAGAACTGTTCTATAGGGGGTCTCTAGGCTATATTTATGGGAGCAGATCGTCAGGTCTTTCTTGCATGGAGCCTGCTCATGGGTTCGAAAAGCCAACCTTTCAGTTAGCAACCAAGCTCTTATTCATTGCACCACCACGGCTCCTTATTGGAGGGTTAAATGCAGGAAATTTATGCTTACACAAGTTCCCTGAATGTGACTGCTTTCCAGAGGCAAGAGAACTAGATTCCAGCGTTATAACCAGGAGGACTGATAGTGATAAAATCCAATTATAACTGTACTTATTTGGGACAAAAGAGGCAGGCCTTCTTTATTTTTTAATGATAATATTGTAAAGTAGAAAGAATGCATAATTTTTCAGGAAAAACAACATGATTTTAAAAAATGCTACAGGTCATATCATGCTTTTTGTCCTTTTTCCTAAATTATAAAACTTATCCTTTAGAATGAAAAAGACAAGCTCTTACAGAAACCTAGCTCTGGCCCTCAATCATTTATCAAGCCGATCTCTTCCTAGATTATCACAAGTCAAGTAGGTAGTGGTCTTCTGGGGCACAAAAGTATTTGCTATATGTAATGTAAGAATGCTGTTGAGAAGACTTTAATTGTGTTTCAAAGGTTAAAATGTTTCTCTGATCTTAACTCCAGTTATAGATTGCTCACCTAAGTGACTAGTGTGTTTGTCTCTGATAAATACATACAGTGATTGTGTCTCCTTTTCTACATTGGCTGCTAGGATTGCCACATTT